AGAAACAGGACTGGACTGCTGGTGAGTGGTCCAAAGTCATGTTCTCTGATGAAAGTAAATTTTGCATTTCCTTTGGAAATCAAGGTCCCAGAGTCTGGAGGAAAAGAAGAGAGGCACTTCATCCACGTTGCTTGAAGTCCAGTGTAAAGTTTCCACAGTCAGTGATGGTTTGGGGTGCCATGTCATCTGCTGGTGTTGGTCCATTGTGTTTTCTGAGGTCCAGGGTCAACGCAGCCACATACCAGGAAGTTTTAGAGCACTTCATGCTTCCTGCAGCTGACCAACTTTTTGGAGATGCAGATTTCATTTTCCAACAGGACTTGGCACCTGCACACAGTGCCAAAGCTACCAGTACCTGGTTGAAGGACCATGGTATCCCTGTTCTTAATTGGCCAGCAAACTCTCCTGACCTTAACCCCATAGAAAATCTATGGGGTATTGTGAAGAAGAAGATGCAATACACCAGACCCAACAATTCAGAAGAGCTAAAAGCCACTATTAGAGCAACCTGGGCTATCATAACACCTGAGCAGTGCCACAGACTGATCGACTCCATGCCACGCCGCATTGCTGCAGTAATACAGGCCAAAGGAGGCCCAACTAAATACTGAGTGCTGTACATGCTCATACTTTTCATGTTCATACTTTTCAGTTGGCCAACATTTCTATAAATCCTTTGTTTTTATTGGTCTTCAGTAATATTCTAATTTTCTGATATGATGAATTTGAGATTTTCATTTGTTGTCATTTGTAATCATCAAAATTAAACAAAATAAACATCTGAAATATATGAGTTTGTATGTAATGTATGAATATAATATACAAGTTTCACTTTTTAAATGGAATTACTGAAATCAATCTACTTTTTCATGATATTCTAATTTTATGACCAGCACCTGTATATAGGATTAAATGAAATAATAAATAATGTAGGTGTCTTTTCTTTTCTTGGTTGCGATTGATTTTATATGAGGTCTGATTTACCACTTCTCGCTTTCTATTTCATTTGTTTTTATTTTTCTAACTACTATAAAAAGCCTGCGGCTGATTCTTAGTTAAAGATCTATGCTTTACCCAACAGAAATTATATAAATTAAGTGATTCTTCATGTCTCTATTGAAGGTTTTGTTCCAAAACATTGTCTTTTTTTTTCTTTTTTTTTTTTTATCAAACTGTATAAAAGTCAACCAGAAAACATTCGGTTTAATGTGTTAAAAGACTGACAATGCCTTGATGAGCAGGAAAAATAGATTTTTAAAATGACTGTTATTTCAAGCTGATGATGAAAAATCAAAGCTAATATGGAACCGTTTACTATTTCTAAACCCTGTTTTTTCATTGGTCCATCCGTATCTGTGTGGTTGCAAAAAAAAAGTCTTATTTTTAACATTTTTCATCTGGTCTCTTATAGCAGAGGTGTTAATTATCTGTTAAAAATAATTGACACTAGTTACATAAAGAGGTGTGAGTTAAACATATTGCATTTAATCATAATCCAATGTCCCAATGGAAAAATAAAGAAAATATTATAATAAAAACTCACAATTCACCCATTTGTTTAAGTTTCTTATCATTGCTAATTCCAGTGTATTATTTAGAGCAGGGATCTTCAACGTTTTCAAAGCCAAGGACCCCCAAACTGATTGCGAGATTAAGCGGGGACCCCCTAATTATATATATTGTATGAAATTGTGTTATATCAAACTGGTCCTATAGTCACTCTATTACATATTGAGTCATGTAACGAAAGTAATTTCTCCCTGGGATTATTAAAGTATTTCTGAATCTGATTCCTGGTTGATGGGACAGGTGTGATGAATGAATCGGTGCCCAGGTTTAAAAGAGCTCTTGTGTGTCGCTGTATGTGTGCATTGATGACTGAAAGACATCTTCTGCTTTCATTTATCTGTTTACTACAGTGTGTTGAATTCATGTTAATGTGTATTTAAAGACATTTTAATTAGTGCAAAAAATTGCAGGAGGGAATATAAAAAAAAGGAATCAACCAAGACTTTCGCGACCCCCATGCAGGACCCCCTGTTGAAGACCTCTGATTTAGAGGATAGATCGAAATTGCTATCATGACTAGAGATCTATCACGATATTGATAAACAATATGACAAATGCCAACCCCGTTTTCATTAGAAAGTTGTTTCTATATATTGAGATTTTCTAGGTCAAACATTCAATTTACGCACAATATTTGGAAAGTGTTAAATTATATTGGTAAAGTCGCAATACCAACAAGACCTGCGATTAATACAGAACATGTGTCTGGTCACATACTATGACATAATGCATTACTATGCCAGTAGCTCCCTCTAGTTGCATACAAAGGCTTAATATATTTCATTTTTGTGTTTTACTCCTTGTTTTGGATAAATTTTTCGGTTAACTTGAGCGTTTTTGTATTTACCATAACAAGCCCATGTAACCAGAGATATTGCACAAGTAAACATGGAAGTAATGGAGGCAAGCTGTTCAGCGTTTCCCCGGCAAAGGTCTAAAAAAGAGGAAAGTATCAAAATCAAGTGTGAACAAAGTGCCAATGATTCTCGGATGTCAAGAGAGAGAAGACATGAGTAGTTCTCTGAATACAAGGTGACAATTGTTAATTGAAGCTGGGGCTAAAGCTTCAGAGCTGGTAGGATAATGGATGAGTGGGCCGGTACTGCCAGCAGATGGCAACGGCTTACAATAGAGTTTATGTCTGCTGATTGTGCTTGGTGCAAAAGTTCTTTTCAGGGCTAAAAAACATTAGCTGGACAAACGTTTGTCATATGTTTCTTTATTTTAACAGGAAAATATTGTTTTCTTTGTTTTATCTTTAGATTTTTTCTAAATGACATTGTATATGCCTAAGACCCAAAAGTATTACTATAGAAGACTGTATGTTTAATTTGCACTAATTTCAGATTTCTCATCAATTGAATCTTCCTCAGTCAGAAGGAATATGTCGACTCAATTGGTGCAGCTTAGAAGGTTTATTGATGGAATAGAAGCAGGTACATTGGAGATGATGGTACAGATGATGATGAGGTTTATATTTGGTTTAGCATGTGAATGTGTGGTTATCTGAAACAGAAGAAAAACTAAAGGTATATATTTATAGCCATGCAGGCAAAACGGGTACATATAGATGCAGAATGAAAACAGCCTGTAGTACCATAGAAATCCACTAGATTAACACCTCACATGCATTATCGGTCAAATGCAATAAACATACAACTGACAAAAGCAGTCAGAAAATATGAAATGAACGGTAATGCCCTCATATACTAATAAAATTACAATATATCTGGCAAAGTATAACAAGGAACTTGAGTTATTAAGTAAGTGAACTCTTGCATTGTCAGTAACCAGAGAAACACGAGGACGATTTCACCCCCTGATATAATAATGTACATAAAACACAATATCAGACATGAAATGTATAGTTGCGTTGTAAAAAACGCACACAGGTTTCATATACACTGAATTAAGGAAGGATTAACGGTGGATGCTATTTTTATGCCACCGAACCACCCAGAAGCACAGAACAAAACAACTTGCTTAGCGACATGAAATTGGAACTACAAAATGAACAGATGCATCATGGGTAATGTGGTACTAAACAAATGGATGGACTTTTAACAATTACTGTATTTCTGCTTTTGGGTCACAGAAAACAGAAACAACAGATAATAAGTCTGTCTAGCTACCCTTCAAAACAATAAGTATTTAAAAAATATAAAATTCTTTTAAATAAGAGATACCTGCTGCCAATAACATGCATATGTCCTGATCAACGTCCATCATTTGTGATTGTTTCTAAATCAGGGGAGTGGTGGCCTAGTGGCTAGAACATTGCACTTTGGTCTCGGAGGTTCTGAGTTCAAGTCCCCCACACTCCCCAAGACTGCCACTCTGGGTCCCTGAGCAAGACCCTTAAACCCAGACTGGTGCCAGGGCGCCAACAGTGGCAGCCCACTGCTTCCCAAGGGAAAGTGGTGTCAAAAGTTCACACATTTGTTATTTAAGCAGAAGTATAGATACCGCAGTTTGAAAACACTCTGGTAAAAGTTGAAATATCAACTTGACCTCTTTACCCAAGTAAAAGTGAAAAAGTAACTGCTCCAAAAACTACTTAAAGTATAAAAATATAAAGTAATCGTTTGAAAAAACAGCCAGATGCCACTTTATGAACTGAAAGCCATTTTTTTTCGAAAAATTCTTTGAGATAGGGCCAAGGATGAGGGCGGTCTTGCTGGTCTCCATCTCCCGATACGCTCGCCCCTGTGTCCGACCTTTCAGACATTTCAACATCTTTTTCTGAATCCGACATTCTAGCATGGCATAGACAATTCACGTTTGCAGTTTGAAGAACACCTGCTTGCTTCTGATGATTTCCTTTAGCTAACCAATGAGTGTTTGCATTATATGACTCATACAATTGCACTAGTTTTCACTAGATGTGGATGGAGCCAATGATCTGCATTGGATGATGTGAAATAAATATTTATAAACATTAAACCAAAGCCAAGAGTAACGAGTAACGTTTGTTTTAAAAAAGTTAGGAATAGAAAGTACAGATACCTGTGTGAAAATGCAATGAGTAGAAGTCAGAAGTAGGAAGAAAAATAAGTAATGGAGTAAAGTATAGATACCTAAATAGTGTACTTAAGTACAATAACGAAGTATTTGTACTGCGATACTTGACACCTCTGCCAAGGGGATGGGTCAAATGCAGAGAGGGAATTTCGTTGCTCTGTACTTGTGATAGTGTAATGACAATAAAGTTGAATTCTATTCTATTCTATGTGTTAATTTTCCACCCTGTATACATACAGCTCATTAAATGTTTCTTTCTTGGTTGCTGGAAATGTTTTTTGTTCCAAGTAGAAAAGAATATTCATACTATGTACTTGACATCAAGGAGTTTTTTTTTCATGTCTTTTTTGGCATATTAATCCAAAGCTTTGGTTATCTTACTTATTGTTTTCTTCTGTGTTTTTCACTAGACCTAAGGCATACGGAGAAACGCAACAAACGACAGACCAGACGCTTTTTGCCCTTTCTTCACAGCCTTGAAGGCTGCACCCCCCCCAGAACTTTGTGGTCATCTCCCCCTGCAGTGTTTTATTGTGCTGATCAACTCAGAGCAGGGGGACTGGACAGGAGACCCAGAGGTTCCCGCCGCTGCTCTAAGCTGTGCCTGGCAATGCCTCAGGTAAGAGGTATAACAAGATAATTCATGTTTACATGTAGATACATACGCACAGTCATCATGATGTCTGTTTTATTCCTTTTTAAATGAATCTAGTGAAAATATTTGATAATTCTTGTATTTAAATGCTTGAAAAAAAAAATAAGCCGATGCTGACAGAGAAGATCACAAGATTTAGATGGTCTAGCAGTAAAGAAGCGCTGTGTAAATGGCCAAATATTAGTTTAATTTGAACTGTATTAGATCATTTTTTTCGGTTATAACACAATATTTGGCATGTATCGAACTATCCCTATCAAGAACTTGCTTGTGTAACTGTAAGTTTAGTATCTTTTCAAAGCACACATAATAAGAGTAAGAAATATCAGTCAAATTAATTGTTTTTGGGACTGATGACATAAATCTAAAAGGAGATCAAACCCTTATATCACATTTAGCTTTAGCTTGTTTAGCTCTCATGTTGAAGGGAAGCTGTAAAGTGGTGCTCTGCGTAACATGACTCATTTAATGACAGATCTGACCATCTTTTGTTATATGGGAGATTGCATGGAGCATCAATAGAAGTGCTGTATATTGACCTGAAAATTAATTTAATATGTCTCAAATTCAGCTCTTATTTGGATCAAAACCTACACACTGTTGCTTTAACATAACACAGTGTATTCAATTCTTTATCCTTGTTGCTCACTTGGTATGTGTGTTTTCTCTCTCTATTACCCTACAGCCCAGCGTCAGTGGGATGGAGCCTCCCTTTGGGGACGCCTTTCAGAACTACTCATTCGCTGACCAGGCCCTAACCAGCACAGAGTTGCTGGCCACCAGCTCTGACCCAGATTTCATGTACGAGCTGGTGAGTGAACATGACGGAACACACACGTAAAATAAATCCACAAACCCACAACCATCCAGCAATCTGGTTTCAAACTTTATCATCCATGCTTTGAGTCTATTTTCTCCTTACAAAATTTAAAACTGCTGACATAATGCTATCACTAATTTACATCCAATTGTAGTCTAACTTTGGTAGTTGTAAGCTGCCTTCTTAAATTATGCAAAAAAAATTGTCATTAAACAATGTCACTAATTTGTCATTTAATAGTGCTACTCTAAGGCTACGTTCACACTGCAGCCTGAAGTGACCCAAATCCGATTTTTTTTCCCATATGCGACCTGGATCTGATCTTTTCATGACAGTCTGAACGACACAGATCCGTTTTTTTTTCCAATGCGACCCAGGCCACTTGGCTATGTGGTCCTGAATCCGATACGAATCTGATCTTTTCAAATGCGACCCATGTCTGAACGGCCAGGTCGCATTCATCCGACCTGAACGTCATTAATACCCGACAAACGTCACTATTATGCGTCTTGCTGCGCAGAAGCAGCAAGAAAAACAACGACCATGGCAGATGATGATGCGGGGAGCAGTATTTATGTTTAAACATATTGAAAAGATTGTGTTTTTATAGTTGGAAAAGACCGCTAGATGCGCGCCGGTACTACATCCATGTTTACTTCTGGAAAAAAAGAGCACGCTGGCCTGTGACATCATTGCATCCTCTACTGCGCAGGCGGGACACTTGCGTTGTATGACTGCAGTTCACACAGGATCACATAAAAGTCGCATATATTTGTAAATATGAACGGCAACGCGAAAAAATCGGATTTCACAAAAAAATCGGAATTGTGCATCAAGGCCTGCAGTGTGAACGTAGCCTAAGACTCTGACTCATTAATGGTTTTTGTGTTCAAAAACATTGTCTGTTTAGCTGCAGCAAAAATGCACCTTTGACATGAGTAAAATAGCGCCGTTCATGAAGCGTTTTTGCCATCATTAATAAACTGGACATATACTCATCAGAAAATAAAAGAGGGGGGTGATATGCAAATGTGAAGGCCTACCCCGGTCCTCATTGTTTTTTATCAAACCTTAAAATTAATTGCACGCATAGTTTCTGCATCTATAGTAAATTTCTGCTGTCATTTGTGGCCTGAAGGCGACACAGTTACAATGACGGGTGACAGACAGTGTCTGAGGACATGGGAACATTAAAAAAAATAAAAAAGCGGAAAAAACCATACTTATTAAGCAATTTATTCTTGGGAAATGCTCCTTGAAACAACATTTTCTTGCATCTTGATCATTTCAACACATCATCGCTGTTATTGGTGACTTTTTCTTTACTCATCCACACCTATCTTCTCCACATGGCCATCTTACCTGTCATCTGTGTGCAGTGCTGTTGTAAATTGAATCCAATCTGCCCTCCAAAATGCTCCATGTTGAAATCCTCTTTAAGTTGGGAAGTCTTTTGGACTTATTATCAAGTGTGAGCACAATCTTAGCAAATTGCTCTCAACACATTCACTGGTTGAATGTATTGCTTTTTGTTTGTACAAGAAATAAAGCGTTCCTTCTTTGGGGTCACTGTAAATCGGCTAAAGTGTTTAAATCTTTTACACATCTAGAAAAATAAACCTGCTTGCATTGACAGCTAGTCAGAATACTCATTTTGAATTGGGGCAATATCTACTAATCATTGAACAAACTGATTAATTTGATGACTGTTTTTCTGGTTAATTTATTAATAATCAGAATACTGTAATTGAATAAAAAATTATGTTAAAAGGTGTAACCTTTCACAGACTAATTATTTAATAGAAGCTTTCAGAGGTTTGTGGGAGAATACTGGTGCAAGAACCTGTTTCCGTCAGCTTTTAGATCAGCAGGTAACTGTTGTTAATGTTGCAGTGAGAAATCCTACAAGTCATGCAAAAAGAGCCCCGGTGGGAGGCTTTATTCAAAGGTGCAGACGGTAAACTCCAACGTAGCACCAGAAGTTTATTTGTAAGCATCTTCTCTAGCTGAGCTGTGCTGTGTGAAAACACTCCCCTCTGCACTCTGTCAGCACACAACTGCTCATCCTGGTCTTTACCTAAAGGTATTATGTTACCTCCTAACACAGAACTGATTAAATATCTAACACCATAAGCAACACTAATGGTAGCCCACTAGTGATTCTGTCATAGAAAGTCTCAAATTATTTCTCCATGTTTTAAACAGGGTAAAATGCATTTAAATCTCCAATAGTAGAACCAAAATCCCCCTTTTTTTTAAACAATGCAGACGATTGTTCATTTTTCTATAGAGGCATTAGTAACAAATGTTGCACAATTCTCAATTAAACACAAAAGAAACATTTATTACCAAAACAAACAAAATGTTAACCATGGATAGCATACTCTTCACGTGATCCTAAGGCATGGCTGCTGAATGCTGATGGAGCACATATCCAGGTATTGGCCGATGCCAATTTGGGGAAAAAAGGCTAATATTGATTGGCTGATGTACCAATCTTATTGTGCTTTGGTTCTTCTTCCATTAGTTTTTATTTTTTTTTTTTTTGAACAAATGCATGGTTGATTCTTTATTCATGCTGTGGCTCTGGTTCTCAGAATGTGAGAACTGTAAAAAACCTAAGTTTCTGAGTTAAAAACATCACAAATTGTTGCCGTTCTCTGAGCTTTTTTCTTTTTTACCTTATCCACTAACAGCTCTTTATATAGTTTAACTACTACAAAGTTAAACTGCTGGAGATCTTGAAATTAAAACCCTAAAATCACCAGATTACCTTGCAGATGCTTTGGGATACCTTGTCTTTCCTAATTAAAATGCTGATAAAACCTATTTTTCCTCTGGTATGTTTGAAATCTTGCAGCTAAGCATGCAGCATCTGACTTTGTGTGACATTCATTAAGACCAAAGCCAGTATTCCTTTCAATACGCCCATTTTCCTGCTGATGACAGACATTCCTCACAATACTTACTGCATATAAACAGAATTAAACAAAGCCTTGCTTACAGCTGCAGGTCTTGATGCTCAACTCAGATTTTTTTGCAAATATCTGAGGTTTTTCTGAAATGTTTGTTCAGACTACTACTTAAATGCAGTCACCATGAGATTCCTTTCCAAATGCTTTACAGCGCCAACATGCCCCTCGTCACACAGAAGCAAACTGTTTAGGGAATGTCAGATGTAGTATCTCTGTGTTAGTATAAGCTGTTGAATAACTGGAGCCAACAGTATTATGATCACATCACAAGATGAGGTAAGGTTAAAAAAAAAATGAGAGCAGAACTATTGGTAATGTGTTTTTGTGGAACAATGAGACGATTCTGTGTGAAGTCTGGGTGATGACATCAAAGTCTGATGAAATACGACATGATCCTTTAGACTGCAGGCTGTTTAAAAGCTATAAGATACATCTCCATACCACATATGGCAGCGGCACAATTCAAGGTTGTTTGGAGAGGAAAAAAAGAAGGAAAAGGTCAGAATTGAGTCAATGGAAAAAGGTCGATATGGGCAAAAAAATCAGATCTGATCAGTGTGAAAGTTGCCTTAGAGACGTTATATAAAACATTATCAGACCATGTTAGCTATCCAATTATATAAAAATTTGTATTCAAAGCTGAGCTTTTTGGAATTAAAAAATTTGAATAATTTATTTAGTATAGGCTCCTCCATAAAAATGTGTTTCTGTTGATAAATATGTCTCATGCTAGTATTTGAACGAGTATTACTTTTAGTTTCTGATGTGTATCTGTAGTGATGACATCAAAGCTAACCAATCAGGATTAAAATCTACATTTTCTGCAGAGAACAGCTTCCCTCCTTTTTTATTTTTTTAAAAGAACTCTAAATATAAATAAAATATGGAGCTCTTTGCCAGAATTTCCACTGGAATTTCAAACACAGAGGCCTGTTACCCCGTTGTTTGACATCCTCGATGCATTTGTCAGGCTTCATAGCAGGTTTAAACAGAAACTCTTCTAGCTGTCAGCTACAGGTGTCCGCTTCAATTAACTTCCCGCTCCAGACTAAACAATAGTGATCCACTGCTGCGCATTCGATTTCCTGCTCTGTAACAGACACGTTCACTGGATGCTGGGACATGCGATCGGTCTCCTTTTTAGTCTGCTTCATGGATTAAAGCCACATGACTTCAAAAAAAAGATATTTGGTAAAAACTAGTTTATTAAAAGGTTTAAGATGAATTATTCTCTGTTTTAAGTGAATTAATTTTATAAGTTATTCACTGTAACTCATTATAAACTCCATCAGTTATTATGGTAACCCTGTTGTGATAGATGATTGAAAATTACGCCTAAATGAGTCGGATATAGACTAAAGTGAAGCCGAGCTGCTGCTGTAGCAGATAAGTGATCAGCATACATGCTTTCCAGTTCAGGTGAAGTTATTGCAGGCAAATTCTGTTTTGTTCTTCATATTATCACTAATTACGTAAATTGAAAAAGCTTTGCCACTTAGGTGATCATAACCACCAGCTGGGAAACACATTTAGTTGTATTAAAATTCTATAGTGTTAAAAGTTTTGAAATTGTTGAAATGTTATTATGGATTATAGTTCTTGAAAAGAAGCTGGATTCCAAGAATAAGTGTTGTTAAAGGAATAGTACACCCAAAACATGATTAGCCTTCATTTTCTACTCACCCCCATGCTGAACAACACTCTGGAGTACTTTTTTGATATCTCAAATGCATCTGGAGATCTGGGAGGCTTCTTGCTGTCTGCTGACATTCACAATAATGGAGGTCTATGGTGCCCGAGACAGAAAGGTCCATAAAAGTCCACAAAAAACGTGTCAATATTCCTCCATACTGCTCGTCCAATGTATTCCAAGTGTCCTGAGTGGGTAGCGTCCAGAATTTACTCGAAAGGAAGTCATTTAGAATGTTTTTAGAGCATAAACAGTAGTGTATAGGATTTCCTGAAAGCTCATTCATGAGTCTACGGAAACCGCGGCAGACCAAACCAGATGAAAGTGCGCATTCAGCTCGGCAAAGAACTCATGCTCTTCCTCAACACTGAAGTCCTCAGACATTTTTCTTTCGTTGTTTCTTTCTTTGCACAGGTAAACAGCACATTTCTTCTTCTACGCTTGCATTATCGGCAGAGCAGACGCTGAATGCGCACTTTCATCTGGTTTGGTCTGCCGGCTTCCGTAGCATCGTGAACATGCAGGCTCGCGCTTTCAGGAAATCCTATACACTACTGTTTATGCTCTAAAAACATTCTAAATGACTTAGTTTCGAGTAAATTCTGGACGCTACCCAATCAGGACACTTGGAATACATTGGACGGGCAGTATGGAGGAATATTGACACGTTTTTGTGGACTTTTATGGACCTTTCTGTCTCGGGCGCCATAGACCTCCATTATTTGAATGTCAGCAGACAGCAAAAAGCCTCCCAGATCTCCAGATGCATTTGAGATATCAAAAAAGTACTCCAGAGTGTTGTTCAGCGTGGGGGTGAGTAGAAAATGAAGGCTAATCATGTTTTGGGTGTACTATTCCTTTAAGCAGCTCTACTCCTCATCCAGTTGTTACTGAGAACTATTGCTCTGCAAGCTTTTCATATTTATTTATTTATTTTTTTTTTTACTCAAGATATTTTTTATTGAGTTTTACATAAACAAAAAACAGAGCACAGTTATATTGTGTTGCAAGGCAGGCTTATAGAAGCCAGTTGAACAAGTTGCTCATACAAAAGTGTGTTCAAGTAAAAGATATATAAACTTGACAAATAGAGAAAGTAGCATGACAACTACAATAAAACAAGTCAAGTAATGAAGCACAAAGATATAATACAATAAAACAAACAAAATAACCCCTTCCCCATCACCCATCCAGTCACTGCCGAAACTATATCATCACTCCACAGCATTCAGGACCCGCCTAAGGTAGAATCAGTGCCGTTGAGCTTGTCTGAGCAATTAAAGAGCTGGAAATGCTTTCAAGAAATGGCCCCACAAATTTTCAAATGTATCAAGAGACTGTTTAAGTGAGTACCTGATCTTTTTGAGTTTTAGACAAGACATAATATCTTGCAGCCACTGTGAATGAGATGGTGGGGAGGCATCTTTCCAGCTGAGTAAGATTGCACGACGTGCCAAAAGTAAAGTCATATTTAGTTGTGTTTTTTAAAGATGTGAATATATTATTTATGTTATCTATGTTTGATAGAACAGCTATATCACCATTATTTCCTGCGTTTTCAGCTGATCTCTAGCAACCTAAAAAAATACTTAAAAAATAGCTCGAGTATAAACAACAAAAACAAAGAAGCTGACTTTGGATCAGACTTCCACCTATAAATCAGTGCTTTAGCTCTAATTCACCAGCTGTGTTTTTTATTTTAGTTTTCTCTTGTTTCTCTACAGGACACAGACATGAGCCACCAGCAGAGTCCCTGTGGGGACAGCGTGGTGGGCATTGGAGATGGAGGCAAAGAAGTGGAGGGAGGAGTGGATCAGCTCATGGGGCTGGTGGAGTGTGAAGCGGTGCACAGCACCTCAGCTTTCGAACAGTGGGACTCGTACTGGGAAGACCTCACCAGGTACCAGACGTTTTATCTGTTGTGGCATCTTTCTAATTTCCTGTGATGTCATCTTTTTTTTTTTTTTTTTTTTTATACCACCTGTTCTTTTTCACATCTGGTTATTTGGTGACAAAACATTTTCTTTTATAAGATTGTGTTATAAAACAATTGTCTAATGGCCTGTAGTTTTACAAATGTTTCTACAAAAGCATCTGAAAAGTCACCTGCACATGTTTTCGGTACCACAGAACAAACCCTGGTGCAACAAGTCTCCTCTCCGAAGTCTGTAAATTAGCAAACACAGTGAATCCGTCTGTTAATGAACCGCTGTATGAATCCTGCAGTTCGGAAAATCCTCAGAGACTTACGGGAGACCAATAGTGGATCAACAGCATTGAAAAAAACAATGAAGCTAAATGTTGCTTCATGGTGTTAAGTGATTGGGGGGCTGCTGTGATTAAATCCTTCTGTTTGTAGGAAGGTACTGCCTGTATAGATGTTTAGTTGAATTTATTTTACCGAAACACGTGAAAAGAGTAACATTCCTTATAGCAACAACTAAGTGATCAAAAAAGTAAGCTCTTTTTTTTAAAAAGTGCTGTTTTAGTGAAAATGGTCCCGTTAACTGCTCTTTCTTCTGGGTTCTGAGTGTAGAAGCTGAAGGCGGATCAGCTTGCTCCCAGATCCAGTGAAGAAACATCCTGTGATCTTTCTGCTTTTTTTCTTGGAATTGCTGTCGTATAAAAATGTTCTGCCGTTCCCAGGAATCTGACTCTGGGAAACATTAAACTGATTCCCAAAACAAAGAGAAAAACAAGGTGGACATCTGCTGTTTTGCTTGGGGCATTGTAGCAGTTCAGGCAAGAATTACAAAATATACAGGCCACAGTTATACAAGCAGGTTAACATAATTTTTCATTGTTGAATAAAAAAAAATATATATATACGTATATAAAAAGCCTTAAAGCTCTGTTTGAATCACACACTGTGCCCTTTTTTAATTGCAGAGCTTAAAAAACTGAAGAAATGACAATATACATTTATAATTAGTTGGTTCAACTTTTGCAATTTTTTTGCATCATATTTAGATCAACAAAGAGCTACTTTGAGAAAAGCAGAGAGAGCATAACGTTAGACATTGAACTACCAGATTCTGCAGAGTGGGAGAGTAGAGATAGAATGATGAAATTGGGGTCCCTATGTCCTCCAGCAGTCTAAGCCTATAGCAGCATAACTATAGAGATAGCTAAGGATAACCTGAGCCGCTCTAACTATAAGCTTTTTCAAAAAGGAAAGATTTAAGCCTAGCCTTAAAGAAGACAGGGTGTCTGCCTCACGGACTAAAACTGGTAGTTGGTTCCACAGGAGAAGAGCCTGATAACTAAAAGATCTGCCTCCCATTCTATTTTTAGAAATTCTAGGAACCACTAGTTCTTCAGTCTACTTTAAGTTTACTAACTGTTACGACCACCCAGGCCACAACATAGAGACAAACATGAGGTTCAAAATAATTATTTTATTTTTAATCTCTGGAACTTCTTTTTAGATCAGGTGTTTTTTTTTTTCGCAAAGAGACAAAAAAAAGAGTCAGATTTTTCCCCCAATTCCTCGTGTCCAAATAAAAAAAACTCTAAGAAAGAAAAAAGTAAAAAAACAAAAAAAAAGTATGAACAGAAAGTTGGACCTGGTGAGCCGATCCAAAGAAACAAAACGTTACTGCAGAGGGCCCCACCCTATACAGGGCCGTCAAAGTCTCTGCTAGTAACGAACTAACGGTTAAAACTCTAATAAAAATAAATAAGAACGAAAACAGGACAACCGGTCCGATCAGGTCAAAGTTACAAAAAATTAGCAAAAAACAAAGGCTAACGAACAAAATTACCGCATGGCAGGCTGGAGAGGTCAGCGGCGGCCTACAAAGACAGGAGACGTGCGCATTGCGTCAGGACGCGCTCTCTGTGACGGTGAATCGCTCAGAACCCTGGGAGGGAGAGAGAGAGAGAGAGACTAACAGGTGGAAACCCCGCCTATAAGCGGACCAATATCCCACAAATTAACATAATCGATTTACAAAAGAAAAAAGAATTATCAAGACTCTAAAAAATAAGTGATTCAACTAAGGTCTATGCAACACTAGAAGAAAAAATTAATAAATAATGAATGTGCCTGACGCACATAACACTAACGCATTGAAAAGAAGTGTTTGTTTACAGCTGTGGGCCCTGCAGGTTTGAGATGATATGCAAGAAAAACTGTAGAAACTGTTACTTGCATCAATAAGTATGTTGAAATATTTCAAGATCTTAGAAGGTAGATGTGTTTAAACCCGGAGCAAATGGGGAACAAACGCTTATTCAACATGATTATATGTTTTAATCATGCACAGATACACACGACTGGCCAGCTGTGACATCTGGGGAACCAAAGAGGTAGACTTCCTTGGCCTGGATGACTTCTCCAGTCCCTACCAGGATGAGGAGGTGATCAGTCGAACCCCGACGCTGGCTCAGCTCAACAGCGAGGATTCACTGCCCGTCTGTGAGACTCTCTACCCTCCCGCTGACCTCACGCTTCCCTGCTCCCAGCCTCCATCCCAGCTGACCCCCTCTCAAAACAAAAGACTCCAAGGCCCGGGTGCCAGCTTGGTGCGACCTTCCCCGTGCTCCACATCCTCTTCCCAATCCCGTCCTTCCAGAAGCCTTTTCGCAGACTTTCCTGAAAGCTCCCAAAAAGCAACCAGACCCGTTCCTTCCAGCACTGAGACTATGGCTAAAACCCAGAACCAGCTCAGCCTCATCCAGGACCACACCCAGACTCAGCCCAAGTCTCTGGGACGAGGGGCTAAGATGGCTGGTCCCACATCTCACAGTGCTGACTTTGTCCGGAAAGCCAAAGTACGTGTGAGTTCTGGACCCAAAGCTCAAAGCGAGGCGATCCCCCAGGCAGATTTCACGGGGTCAGATGCGCCTCTCCCTCTTTCCCAGCCTCAAGACGAGAAGCCCTCCACTTCAGCAAGTGCCACCTTGGTGGGCCGTCCCACCCCCACAGCCAGCAGCTCAGCTAGCTTGGCAAGCCTCGAGAGGAAAGCCGAGGGGGTTTTACGGAGGGAGACACCTGTAGGAAGGTCGTCTGCTGTGCCTCCGCTGGTTGATGCGAAGCAGACTCTGTGTGGCCCGTCTGACGCTGCAGCATGCAGTGCCGGCAGCGGCGCGGCTTTGGTCATGGAAGACCCGGAACAGAGCAAGGAGGAGGAACACAACTACTCTCTGTTCCTGACCCGCAGCAGAGCTCACTCGCAGTTGGAGGAAGACGAAGAGGAGGAAGATGACGAGGAGGCAGAGGAGGACGAGGGCGACGGGCTCGACTTAGACGACGAAGACCACGATGAGGGTTTCGGCAGCGAGCATGAGCTTTCAGAGAATGAGGAGGAAGAGGAGGAGGAGGAAGAGGAAGAAGAAGACGAAGACTATGAGGCAGATAAGGATGATGACATGAGCGACGCCTTCTCCGAGCCAGGTAGACACCTTTCTGATTAAAATCTCTCCTTTTCAGTTTTTCTTTAATTCTGTTAATAAAACTCAGATTCTCTGAAATATTTTCTCAACAATTCTGGTTCTTTTTTATTTTATTTAATTTCTTAGGCTATGATATGGAGCTGATGGAGGACATCAAAGGGCTGACAGCTGGAGTCTCCAGCCGTAAAAGAGGCAAGCGTCGTTATTTCTGGGAGTACAGCGAGCAGCTCACCCCCTCCAAACAGGAACGGATGCTGAAGCCCTCTGAGTGGGACAGACACACGCTGCCGAGCAACATGTACCAGAAGAACGGGCCTCTCCACGGTACACAGACACACACTCATAGGATCCAGTGATTCTGCATCTTTTTTTAATGAAAGTTTGCGGTAGTGAGAAAGAACATTCAGATGATAGCTCACACTTTACTAGCATTCACTCCTGATTAAAAAAATCTTTAGACGTGTTAAAAAAAGAGAGTAAAAGTTGTGATTGTATCTCAGTTTGGTGGAATTGACCCCAGCTTCACGTTTATTTACTCTCGCCTCCATATATACTTATCAAAATTAGTATAGATACCTTTAATGCTCCCATGAGGTGTCCAAATAACCATGGCAACAGTATTTTCATTCCGTCACAAGACTTTTGCCGTTTCTCAGTTCACGAGAACGTGAGTACGGACTAAGTCAATATATATATATATATATATATATATATATATATATATATATATATATATATATATATATATATATATATATATATATATATATATATATATATATATATATATGTTTAGGGTTGGGAATTGAAAAGATTTTCACGATTCCGATTCCCTTTTCGATTCTATGAAACGATTCGATTCTTAATCAATTCTTTTTTCGATTCCAATTTGGGGTAAAAAGGAGAACAAACAGTTTGATTATCAGAATCAACTTTGTTTACTTAACTATTGCACAATCTTACAAACTCAAAAAGATCAAGATGTCCACAGGAAATGTGAAACTGGAGTAACATCTGTGTTTAAATGAAAAATGAATACAAGAACAAACTTAATAACCAACAATGTCTAATAACAAATGATGGGATAATAACCTATTTTAAATAACAAAAAATACTAATTATAAAACAGTAGTAGGGAAAATTAACAGTTCTTTTGCAGAAAGATGAGCATATCTGCTTTTTCTGGAAGGATACAGGATCTTTCAGCGCTTAAGGTGTCTCCAGCCGTGGAGAACAACCTCTCAGATGGGGTGGAGGAAGCCTGCACACAGAGGTAGTTTTCAGCCAGTCCAAATAGCAAGGGCAGCGTATCTTGCTTGTTCCAGCACCACAGTGTGGCGCTATCCCTGCAGGGGATGGAGGGCAAGCTTTTATAGAGCTGGATTTCCTGATCTACCCTCTGGGCTAAGGAAAGACGGGGCTTTGATTCACAAAGGGACCGCAGCTCGTTGTCTTCCTCCTCGAATAGTTCTTCCAACTTGCGTAACTTGCGTAAGTTGCGTAACTTACGTAAAAAACGTGACATAAGTCGTGCTCCCCAGAGCCGGCGCTCTCGGCTCTGGTGCTGCGGGAATCGAAAAAAGAATCGTTCAGAGCGCTGCCAAACGATGCCATGGAATCGGAAAATACGGAACCGGTTCTGAACAGGAACCGGTTTTCGATTCCCATCCCTATATATGTTGACTTAAAGGGGAACGCTGTTTTTTTTTTTTTTTTACATTGGGCTCTTGATTTTATGTTATTACATCATGTTCTACTCACCCATATGAGTTTTGTGTCATTTGGAGCTGTTCTGAAGATATTCCGTTAGGTTATATCCAAGTAACGTCTTCCTATGGGCAACGAGTTGAAGGCACGAACTAAACTGTTCATAATTTATTCTTTATGTAACGCCAGCATTCATAACATGTAGGCGAATCACTGTCCCCCAGACATCTGCGGTTTTATTTTTTATTTAAATCTTTTAAAAACAAAGCGAGTGTTTATGACATCATCTTAATGTAAAAAAAAAAACGGCATTCCCATTTAAAGGTAAGACAAGATAATTTTTTTTTTTTTTTTAAGTGATTTATTTGTATTTTTACATCATAAACACCCGTTGTAAATTTTTGTTAGCCATTTCACATTAGGCTACGACAACATTAGCCTTATGGCGTCTGGTTCTCCCTACATGGTGGCGGTCGGATGGCTGGGTGGCGCCCGTTTAAGTCACCTCGCTTCTGTCATTGAGCCACGGTGCAGCTGTGGCTACTATCTAGCTTTGCACCATCAGTGTATGAAAGGGTGAATGATGACTTATTGTAAAGTGCTTTGGAGGCCCCTGACTTGCACAAGTGCTTTATAAGTACCATACGTGACCATTTAATTCAGTATTTTGTCCTTTAGTTGTGTCTGAGGCTGTGATGATGACCATAAAAGAGGATGTTCATGTTCTGAAATCAAATCAGCATCTTTCATTTTGCACGTTAACATGCGCAGGTCTTTTATATAGCAGAGGAAATGAAAAACTATCTGAAGCAAATTACCCACCTTCCTATTTATGCAAACCCTCCGGTTTTAAATAATGCTGATGTGTTGAAAGAGTCTTGATGGACTTGTGTGAATGGGAAAAAAAAAAAAAAAGCCAATTAAAGGCTTGTTACATCTGAGGGTTGGGATTAAGAAAGCACTCAGCAAGGACACAGACAGCTCGTTTTAGCTTATAAATGTTTATTGTCTGCTGGATGGTACTCATTAAAGAGAATATGTCCATTACAAGTCCGATTAAAATGGGCAAAAAGTACTTTTTATAGGGAAATCTGTAGTTTTATTGGATAATTTCCAGTATTTTCTTTCAATAAATCTACTAAAGGAAAAATAATTTTTTAAAGGACAGAGCTCCTACACACTTATTGATCACCCTAATTAAAAAAAAAAGAAAGAAAAGGAAAAAAAAGCATCACTGAGCTGCAGAGGCACCTGACCAAATATCTATAGTTAACATTTACCTGAGCTTTTCCTGGCCTGCCTCCTGCAGTTATTTCACTGTGAATCCTTAGTTTTATGCACTTACTGTTTTTTTATGCATGCTAAATAAATATCATATTTTTGCTTTCTTTTACAAAGGGAAATATATGCTAAAGAAGTCCCGGCGCACAGATGTGGAAGACCTAACTCCCAACCCTCGCAAGCTGCTGCAGATCGGCACAGAGCTTCGCAAGTTGAACAAGGTGATCAGCGACCTGACCCCGGTCAGCGAGCTGCCACTGACAGCACGGCCGCGGTCTCGAAAGGAAAAGAACAAGCTGGCGTCCAGGTAAAATGTAATGCATGCATAGATTGTACTGGCAGAGCTCCAATGATCCACTATTGGTGAGTAACTCTCCTTCATCTGTTTGGGATTTAGGGCCTGCCGTTTAAAAAAGAAAGCTCAGTATGAAGCAAACAAGGTGAAGCTCTGGGGACTCAGTACGGAGTACGGTGAGTTCTTTCTCCAGGTCTATTACAATATTTGGTTCTTACAACCTCTGATCTTGGGAACATTACAAATGATTTTTTTTATGTGTTCTGATGATTAAAAATGACATGCATTACATTTTCTTTGTAGATCGGCTTCTGTTTGTGATCAACGCCATTAAGGAGGAAATAATGCTGAGAGTGGAGGACTCATCTCCGCGCCCCACCAACATGACGGAGACTCTTGAGCGGCTCATCGAGGAGACGCTTGGTGAGAATTAAAGATGAGGAATCATTTGGGACTTTTACTACACTAATCATGAAGCTGCTAATCCCGATTAGATAAAATTTCAAATTTTTACAAAGAAATATATATAAAAAAGACAACTTGCTGCAAATTGAAATAGGGCTGAAGCAATTAATCGGATTAATCGTGATAAATCGATTATTGAAAAAAATCGTCAGCTAATTTTGTTATCGATTAATCGTTAACTAGAGTATAGAGACTGTAAAGCATGTCTTTAACTGACAGAGCGACCCAGTTAGAGCAGTAATTATGCCCGAATTGTAAGAAAAATATATGGACATTTTGCATTTAAGATAAAAAAAAAAGAATGTTTGGATTAATTTTGCTAAAAAAAATTCTGTAAGGAAGCTTTGGCTTTCTGATTGTTAATCAAAAAAGATGACTGACAGATTCATCAATTTGCAAAATAATCGTTAGTCGCAGCCCTAAATTGAAATATGATTGGCTGCTCAAAACACCAATGTAGGAAAAGGTTGGAGGGGTTCTGAGCAGTGTGCTCACTACCTCTGTAGTAGAGAAACTGCCTGATGACATTCTGATTTTATTTTCTTTCTAGAAGACGACTAAATTGCAGAGCTCTGACAGAAAGCATGTATTAGGAAAACATCTCTTTAATTAATATAAAACGGTTTCAACATTCAAGATGATTTATTTCTCTCTAACCATCCTAAGGCCCTGATGTCTCTGTATTGCTGGTAAACCAGACTAAATGTGAAATTAAATGTGTAATTTAGCCTGGCTCCAATGAATGAGACATTGGAAGATTGTTTATCAGAACAACCTGTTGTCTTTCAAATCGCTGTCTGTGCCTATTGGCCAACGCTCTCACCAATGAGCACAACTGACTGTGACGTAGTAAGCGCGACAGAAAGCTGGTGGGGGAGTGTAAACAAACAGCCTGTTGGTAAAACGGCGAATACGTCCTTCTTAAAATTGAATGAGCGTAGAGCCTCTTCCTGCTCACGTTTCAACAAAAACCCCCAAGTCTAATCCTTTCAAAACTGATTCCAAAGCTGAGTCAAACCAGAACTGTTCAATAGTTGTTGCCATCTTCCTTGTTGTCCTTTCTCCTTTGTCGTCACGCCCTCAAAACCGCTCCCGCTTTGCATCCAGAAATTCAAAACACATCTCTGCGTTGTGATTGGCACGCCAGTTCTAGGGCCTGGGGCAATGATCGAGGCTAGACCAAGCTTGCAGGCAAAAATGATTTTGGCCGCTGGTGCGTGGGGCTAGTTTACTAGGCTATGTTAGTATAAAAATTGAAGCAGTTCCTCATTTTAAAACAGATATTTGTTTCTACAGTTTGGTAAAAAACATTTTACAGCAGGTAAAAGAAGAATAAAACCAAACAACTCTGTTTGTTTGCCTGCAGTGCCATCACCTGTTGCCGGGCAGACTTCGGACTTTGTCAACAAGATCTTGGAGAACACAGGACGCGGTGACCCCACCGGAGGACTGGTCGGCCTGCGAGTCCCCACCTCTAAAATGTAGACAATCCCTCCGTCCACCGAGCAGAGTGGACGACATATTACCACCGTGCTGTCCGTTGTAACTATTCTCCCCTCTCTGCATGCCCCTACAGCTCAGAGTAAACTCTCATCGCCAATCACTCAAACACACATACCACCTCCCCCGTGCGTAGGTACGTGTGCTTGTTTTTGTCGTGCAGCTGTATGCCAAGAACCCTGGCTTTTTCCGTCTCTGCACGCTGCGTGCTTCGTCAGTGCATCACTGTCTCCCCGACCATGGTGACCAGCTGTTGGGAGAAGCACATCCACAAGCAAGTGATGGTTAGATGTATCTGTATAACAGCACCTTCCTTAAATCCACTGGTGGTTGCTAGATTGGCATGACGTAGGGACTCAGGCTGCCGCTCATATGAGCATAACCACTGGAAGACTTTGTTTGAGGTGGTAATAAAGACAGAGGGAATGTTGTTACATGCCAGAAACAATCACTGATTGAAGAAGCATAAGTTGTCATTTATATAAGGAGCTTTACCCCCCCAAAAAAGTTCCAGGATGTTAAATTGACCCCTTCACTGAAGCACTTTTACAAAGATGGCTCTGATGGCTGAGAAAGCTGCAGGGCTGGAGGAAAAAAAAAAAAAAGAAGCTTAGTGGCAGGAAATATTTGTACTGAAGGCCCAAATAAATTCCCGCCGTCATCCCCTGTTTGCCAATCAGCTCAGCTGCTTGTAAAAAAAACCCAGGTATAACGTTAACGCAAGATGTAAAAAAAGAGACACAGTAGAGGATCTGAGCGATCGCACATCCTGCTAGTTTGGTGGGGGAGGGGCTTCAACGTGTTACCATTACCAATAGGAAGTGGTTATCAACGTGAGACGGAAGTGCATGTAGCATGGTGCTTTTTATGGGGCTTTCTGCTGGTTTTAACTGGACTGAAATAAACAACGAAGAGGATGGCGACAAAGATGACATGAACAGCGACCCATCTCCTCCAGAGAACTGTATATAGAAGTGTCTCCCAGGCATCGGCTCTTCCCCCCTTTTTTTGTACAGTAGAGTTGACCAGGCAGCGTGGTGGTGACAGTTTGATGTGTTCATACTAGTGTTTGATCAGAGTTCTATTCATTGTGCCTTGTATATGTATGTGTGCGTCTCTGTAGGTCTGAACGAGTGTTTGTGTGTGCGTGTGTTTGTGAGTTAGAGACGGACCAGAACTCCCCCAGGGTCCGGCTTTAGGAGAGATGGTCGTTAGGGAGGTAGAGGACAGACACAAGGTGTTTAAAGATATTATGAATGTACATAGACAAACGAACGCTCTTGTTGCGCAATGCCACAGAGTCTGTGTATATAGGAGGGCTCTGCAATAGATTCCTGTCTCTTTTGGTACTCTTGTCTTTAGGGGATATGAGTCTGGGGGGTGGGGGGGTTAATAGATTTTTTTTTTTTTCTTTAGGGTTACAACAAATATTTGCACACTATATATTTTGATTGTTTTTTGTACCAAAGACACATGTAACGAAAAAATGGCGACCAGCCAGTTAAAGTAAGGTTTTGCACAGCTTATCTGACGCCGTATTGAATGTAAGAAACGTGGGAGGGTCAGGGAACTTCATAGAACTGTGAAATTAGTTTGGGTCCAATTCTGTACAGAAAAGGAACATTCATTTAGTGTCCCTTGCAACGTGGGCTTTTTTTTTTCCTGTAGATTTCCTCTGTTGCTTAGGAAAGCACTTCATTCCTAAACTGATTCCTCCCTGCACATGCTAAATGTGTTAATGGCGCTAGCTAGGAAACAAACAAACAAAAAAAAAAAAAACCCAAGCGCTCACTAGTAGATAAGCTAAATTAGTTCTTTTTTTTTTTGCTTGTCAATATATTTCCTGAAATAACCAAAATATTCTTGTCACTCGTTTGATTTCTGTATGTAGATGAGGTCTAGTTCATGAGCAGAATATTATTTGAGTTGTGTTTCAAAGTACTGTATATAGAAGCATCAATGCTATATCTTTGAGTTGTGAAAATCAACTTTTCATGACAATGATTTATTTCTAAGCATGTCACATTTCTACTGTCTGTCCTTGCCTTTAAAAAGCTAGTGAAAAAACAACACAAAACAGTATATTTTTGTATTTACGCTGCTTGTTAGTTTCGCCTTTTTTTGGTTTTGAGATATTCATGGATCAGTGAAAGTGGCAAGGAGGGAAAGAAGAGTCAGACTGATCTGGTAATTGTTACAGAAATCCACTCAGTTTCTTTGCTGAAAGCGAGAAAGACGGAAAACCAGGACTGGATCATTTCAGACGCGATATCAAAAAGCGTCAGTGTCATTAGACAGGCTGTAGTTATGGAGGATACTCCATGGAGGCTTAAAAATCTGTCCTAACCAGGGACTTTAAAAGCTGCTTCACACTGACCTGGAATCAGCAGCATCAATAAGCAATTTGCTTGCTAATTTTCCATTTCCGTGAAACGTTACCAAGGTAGCTACAAACTGATTCCTATTGCAGAGACTCCCTTTTTCATACCCCAGAAAAAAAAAAGGTGAGGCAGAAAATACCTAAAAATATAAAATGGTGAAGTCCAACTGTAGCTGCCTGGGTCAACCAAACATGCCGCTGTACAAAAATAAGCTTCCCAAGATTTTTAGCTACTCTTAAACACCTCAGTCATCCTTAACATCTCTCTTTTACTTCACTGAATATCATCGCCACTCTTAGCTGTGATGCATTCCCTGAAAGGGAACAAAAATTGAGTTTTCCACTGACCAATCACTGATCTGGTTCGGTCATTCTCAAAATCGTTTATCCAGTTTCCTGTTTATTTCAACGTATTTTTCTGGATTAACAATAAAGTAAATGAAGTCAGCATTTATAGGTATTACCCTTTGAGGTGCATGGTTGACCTTTACCCGTTTCCTTCTCGTTGCCCTCAGGTCCTTACAAATACACATTACATTGCTCACACCATACCGGTAGAAACTCTATACCTTGTATCAGATGTTGTGTCCATCTGTTGCACCCAAACCTCAAAAAATTAGGAATCAATTTTTTAATTTTATCAGGATGCAAAATGAACTCGAGTTTTGATTCCAGGGCAGTTTGAGGTTTTGTAGTTCTCATTTACAGAGCAGTTTCTAATGACTGTGAGCGTCTCTCGTTTTGTGCCGTGTGATTAAGTAATGGCTAATGCTCTAAATATAATTTCCTTTTTTCCATCTAAAAGGGAGAAATGGTGCTTTTTTCTGAAACTAGAATGACAAGTTTCCAAGATTTACATTTTGACTTCTTTGACTAGTTGTAGCCCAATAATTTGCTCTACCCTTTCCGTCCGTAGTTATTTTCCTAGTAGGTATATATTTTGTAAATAAGCTATGAGTTAACATGTACCTTCTAAATGTTATATGTATAGATTACCTTATATGTTTGAAAAGACAACAGCACTTTGTCAAAAAAAAAAAGAAAAAAAAATACCAAAAAGAAAATCTTTTTTTTTTTCTTCCATTTGCTGCTAAAAACGGCCTGGTGTGAATGCTGCAGGTGTACTTGCTGACTACTTGCTTGAATAAGTCTATTACCTGACATGGCTAGGTCTACAAACTAGTGAGTAATATAAGCGTTTGGCCCGACAAAGGTTAGATCAACGAACTTTTCTTGAACCATGTAATGATATGAGGAGTTCTGAGGGACGTATCGTTGCTTGGCTTCTAGAAAGTGCAGTATCTGGACAGGATCGGTCTATTTCTTGGTCAGGGTGTGATGGTATGTTTGTGGTCTTAAGCGAAAAAGAAAAAAAAAGACAAAAAAAAAAAGAGGGTTTTGATTCCAGGGCCCCTACGTTTGATTCTGATGCTGACCCCCTTGGCGTCATGATTCATTTGCCTTCAGTAGAGGTTTCCTATGGAAAAACTGATTCTGCTTTGGCTTCCTCTTCAGGGCGATGTACAGTGTAGACACATTTCTTCAGAGAGCTATATTGTTATCATTTGTAAACTGATTTCTACTTGTGACTTAAAAGAGGAGGGGGTTTAGCCTGGGGCGGCCGGGAAGAGCCTGCCGAAAGTTGTTTTTCCAGGCCGCCTCAGGGGAAGTTACTATATCACTGCACTGTATGGCAAGCCAATTACAAGTGGAAACTTAAAGGAATAATACACCCAAAACATGATTAGCCTTCATTTTCTACTCACCCCCATGCTGAACAACACTCTGGAGTACTTTTTTGATATCTCAAATGCATCTGGAGATCTGGGAGGCTTCTTGCTGTCTGCTGACATTCAAATAATGGAGGTCTATGGCGCCCGAGGCAGAAAGGTCCATAAAAGTCCACAAAAAACGTGTCAATATTCCTCCATACTGCTCGTCCAATGTATTCCAAGTGTCCTGAGTGGGTAGTGTCCAGAATTTACTCGAAACGAAGTCATTTAGAATGTTTTTAGAGCATAAACAGTAGCGTATAGGATTTCCTAAAAGCGCGTTCACGAGTCTACGGAAACCGCGGCAGACCAAACCAGATGAAAGTGCGCATTCAGCTCGGCAAAGAACTCATGCTCTTCCTCAACACTGAAGTCCTCAGACATTTTTCTTTCGTTGTTTCTTTCTTTGCACAGGTAAACAGCACATTTCTTCTTCTACGCTTGCATTATCGGCAGAGCAGACGCTGAATGCGCACTTTCATCTGGTTTGGTCTGCCGCGGTTTCCGTAGACTCGTGAACGCGCTTTCAGGAAATCCTATACACTACTGTTTATGCTCTAAAAACATTCTAAATAACTTTGTTTCGAGTAAATTCTGGACGCTACCCACTCAGGACACTTGGAATACATTGGACGAGCAGTATGGAGGAATATTGACACGTTTTTTGTGGACTTTTATGGACCTTTCTGTCTCGGGCGCCATAGACGTCCATTATTTGAATGTTTTTGAAGCAAGAAGCCTCCCAGATCTCCAGATGCATTTGAGATATCAAAAAAGTACTCCAGAGTGTTGTTCAGCATAGGGGTGAGTAGAAAATGAAGGCTAATCATGTTTTGGGTGTACTATTCCTTTAATCTGGACACGTATTGCCTTCTGTAATAACTTCACACACAAAAACAAAAATAACAACATGGCAGACATGTTTGTAGCTAAAGGGACATACCTGGGGTTTCTAACATTCTTCTGCCAGTCTGGTAAACAACAACAAACACAAAACCATTCAGCCTGATTCGCTCCAAAACAACCTGGAGTGGAGTAGCAGACGTGATGATCTGCATCTGAAAAACGACTTCAGCAGTCCGAACCTCTCAACACTCGTGTCTTTTCCGACCGCATTTGAAGCCTTTTTTTCAGCTATTATTTGATACCAGGTCTGTCGTGGGGGTCAACAGTGGTTAAAGGGCCGCTGGTTGACGGCCGGCTGACGTTAGAGGCGCTCGTGTTTTGCCGTCAGACACGAGGCTCTGCTTTTTAAGAAAGAGTACTCACAGGATTTTTACTTTTAACATGAAAGGCGCAAGCTGTGCAACTTTACATTGAAACCAAGAGACTCTGTGGCATTTTAAAAGTCAAGGAAATGAGTGAGAATCCACGCCAGTAAAACAAGTCCTTATTCCTTTAATTTCTAAATAAATAAATACTATACAGTCAACTATTAAGCTAATAGTGTGTAAACTTGTGCTACTCTTGTTCAATAAAAGCTATGTGGATACCATAAAGTTCTTCTTCAGCAAATCAGGGTAATATTGTTCTTCTTTCTGACATATGTGATGACTTATAAAATCGAAAGAAAAATATATTTATGTATTCCAGTTATTGTCGCCATTCTTTACTCTGTACAAAACAATATAGTGTGTGTGTGTTCTGAATTATCAATGTCAATCACTATGGTGCAATGCTCTGTACACAAAGTTAAGACAAAGGCCAACAGACTTTTACGCAAAAATTCAAACAAACAAAAAAAAAAAAAAACAGAATTTGCAACATGTTCCCTTCATGAAGGATTTGACTCTGATGTCCAGCTGAGATCCAACTGGGGGGGGGAGGTTTGTCAAATGGTGCTGATAGTGTTCGGTCATTCAAGAAGTCCTGCCCTTCTTCCCCGCTACCATTTATATTAGTTTAAAGTTTCTGTAAATGGTGTGATTTTGCTAAGAAGATGTTTGGGTTCTTGCTCTGAACAGCAAGAGTTAGGGATTTCTGTTAGCAACCTGTATAATATCTGTTGTAAAGCATAGCATGACTTGTAAAAGCCAGTTTCTTGGGCATGGTAATATTAGCCAGACTTATACATAAGATACATTTTAAATTTATTTTATTTGAATAATATACACAGTAAGATTATATATGTTTATGTATATCAAAGAAGTTCCCATCTATATTTTACAATAATACACTCTATTATCAGCTATGTAAGAATGCAAGTCTATAAAAAAAATGCTCAGAAGAAAGGGTTATAGCAATATGGCAGTTATAAGATTTGTAATGACTTTGGTTATTTTGGTAAATATCTTAGCATGTTTGACTTCATTGTTTGTTTTTTGCAATGATAACAATCCTCTTGTAAACTTTTTTTTAAGGGATAACCAAAGTCTTAACACCAACAAACAGAGATGTAACAATATACAATGTTTAGTGCAAACAAAACAGAAAAAAACTCAAAGATGGATTCATTCAACTTTGTTTTAAAAGAGGTAAATGTACTTTTATAGGCATCATTTCCATCATAAACATAGCTTATAGCTATGTTGGCTACCTATGCTACAGTAGGTAGCCAACATAGTTTATATCTATGTTGGCTACCTATGCTACAGTAGGTAGCCAACATAGCTTATATCTATGTTGGCTACCTATGCTACAGTAGGTAGCCAACATAGCTTATATCTATGCTGGCTACCTATGCTACAGTAGGTAGCCAACATAGCTTATATCTATGTTGGCTACCTATGCTACAGTATGTAGCCAACATACGGTAGCTTATATCTGTGTTGGCTACCTATGCTACAGTAGGTAGCCAACATAGCTTATATCTGTGTTGGCTACCTATGCTACAGTAGGTAGCCAACATGGATGGCAAACAACTTTTGAAGAAAGACAACATTTGAAACACCGTTTTACAGCTTGTTATAGCTTTTAATCTTTTTTTCTTTCCCCTATTTATGTATTTTTTAAATTAATAATTGGCATTAAATGAGCAGTGATTGTTTGCTTTCTGGAAACTTCTCTGTATGGAATACATCTAGGAATTTTTTATTCCAATTTTAATCTTTTACAAAAAATGGCCTTATTAAGTCCTCTGTTGGCTCTTATTATCATGACCCAAAAGTCTGGCTTCCAGTTTTGTTGTATCATTTCAAATCCGTCCGGTTTTGTTTCAACCCATAGTTTATTCTTTGTAAAATCCCCTCATATTTAGAGCTAATGCCATCTATGGCCCCTTTATTCCTCCCAAAATGAGAAGCAGCTAGGCTCGTTGGTCTGGAGGGCGATTTCCTGCATAACGCTGAGAGAATTGGTGAATTTAATTCCTTTGCGGATTGAGGAATCGATTCGCACTTTAGTAATGGATTTCTTTGTCACAAAGTTTTTGCATGGCTTTTTGGGGCTCTCTGTACTCTCAGTCATGATTTTGTACTTGCTGCTATTGAATGAGCACAAATAGGCTTGAGGATGTCAACAGATTTGCAGTATATTTTCCCTACATACCCTTAATTGTTTTTCTTTTTTTTCTTTTCTCATATATATATTTTGCTGTGATATTCAAAAGACCAAAAGCATTACTTACCTTGCACTTGGTTTTCGCATTTACATAGGAACAACAATATTTTGAATTACGATGCCTGCTGAACCAGGTGCCTTAGTCAAATATACAAAAAAAACCACAAAAAATGCACCTTCTGTCAGTCTGGAGGGGATTTCCCCACAGAAACAACGGACTGGGTTTTCCAAAACGTAAACTTGAAATACAAATATAAAACGAAAACCTTGCTCTAGCTAATATCCACACACTTTACAGATGAATCAACTGTCAGCAGCAGATAAAAGCTGGTTCTCATTCCTGGACTTTGCCGTTTTTTCCCTTTAGTATTACAGTGGAACAGCATACATGGCTAACGCAATGTTGTTTTGGGAAACCCGGTTCTATTTTTTTAAAAACTCTCTCTGCCCACTATGCCACATTATAGTATGTTCTGTATTGGCTGCTGCTATCACCGCTGGTGTGTTTGTGTAGAGAAGAGCAAACTTCCACTGTGTCGGTGACGGGGCAAGACTCGGGGCCTGCTTTTTACCTGATCAATATCAATGCATTCTTCTTCTGAGGTTTTGACGTGGGGCAGTATGTTGCTGCCTGTTGAGACCTTTATGTGACAATGAAAAAAGCAAAAAAAAAACAAAAAAAAAAACACTTTCCATTTTTTAACTTTACTATAATGAAGTGCCAGACCCCTCCGTGAGGTCAGCGTTGCCACTGAGTCGCAGGTCGTGGATGGAGCGACGAACTGAGCATGGGGGTAAACTGTGGTGCTATAATCTGTCCCTGGCTGGGTGCTACAGTAACATGGCTGTGTTGAATTTTAGCCATATTATTCCTTTTGTTGATGACTCCGTCGAGTCTGATGTTTCTGCTGTACGCCGACATAGCGAGGTGTAACTCTGCTGCTGCTGCTTTGCTGATGAATGTAGACTCGTCTTCCTCAGCAGGATCACACAGACAGATGAAAGAGTGTCTGGAGATTTTATTTCTTCTCGTATATTTTTGTTCAGAAGCTAAAAGGGAGACTCTGGTCATCATGACAGAGAAAGCTCTTGAATGTTATATTTTTATGTGGCCACTATTG